TTGCAGATAAATTAGTTAGTTCTTCTTTCTATAGTCTGAGCTTCATTCTTGTATCTAAATTTGTAACTCCAAGCAACTCTATGTAGTTTCTCTAACAAGTTTATCAATAAAGATAAGAGCAAAACCTCACCTTAAAAAAAAAAAAAAAAAAAAAAAAAATGCGAATAAGATGATATTTATGAAGTATAACAGTAAATATTTATGAACCTAATAGATTACTGATATTAAATAATGGTTTATTTAAAGTAAATATTTGAAGCTTTATTGAAAAAGCCTCAAACTGAATTCTCTTGTCTGATAATACATGAATGAGTATCACTAAAAGAATTTAGAAAGTATATTTTCAGATTTGTATATTTATTCGATACATCTAGATCTAATTAGTGACATATTTAATTATATATACATCATTTATGAAATGAGGGCAGTAAGTTATAAATTTAATAGTATTAAATCTTGTTTCTTTTATCAGTAAACAAAAAATTACTTTTTAACACAAGCTATATTTATAAAGAATAGTGTTCAACAACTATAAACATTTCATTTACCAATATATAGCTTAGCTGTTATCAGAGTTTCATCTTTTGATAGAGTTTTGGGTCTTGTTTTTGAATGATTCATCTTTCATCAGATTAGATTTTGCTAAAGATTTTACCTTTTGCTAGTTGTTAGAATTCTATTTTTTATCTTTTGCTTTTATCTTTTACCACTTATAGTCAAACTTTAAAGAATCATATAAATTTACTTTATTAAATATTATATTTAAAAAAATCTTATTTTGGGTTTTTATATATTATTAATATTTGATATCTAGTTAACTTGCCTAAGTTTTTTTTTTGATCTGAATCTTAGCACAAGACTTTTTATTAGTCTGTATATACTTAATATTAAGGATATTAGGTTTCAAAATTCAAGTTTTAATAAGATTCAATCTCTAGTAAGGAAATAGCTAAAATGCAATGTAAAGATACTGATACATCTGTAAAGTTTCTTGTTTTAGTATAACTAAAAACGGTTCATACTATCTATTTAAATACATATGTACTACTATGAAATATTAAAAGCTTATTAAAGTTAATATTAAGTCAATTATACTATTTGTAATACAAAAAATCAGTTAAATTATAATCTAACTGATTTTGTAAAAAAAAAAAAAAAAAAAAAAAAAAACTATTTGAACAATAGAAATATTCCCTGAAGAAGAATTTGAATTTGATATTGAACAAATAGTATGTATAATATGATATCTAAACAAAGATTTATATAAAATAGGTTTAATATACAGAATAAAATCTTAAAAAGATTATATTAATATAAATTGATCTATTTAATTTTAGTCAAACTTTAATGAAAATATTACAAATATTGAAAATATTGATACTGAAGAGATCAAAGAAACTATTGAAGATATTAGAGAAACTATTACTTATTTTACAATATATTTAGCTATTAAAGCCGATAATATATATTACTCTACTGTTTTAGTTGAATATCTTTTAACTAGTCTGCAAAATGACAAAGAACCTTCTGGTTTTGCTACTATATATAATGTGCTTAATCTAGAAGATTATGATAATAATAGTAATCAAGTACAAAATATAACTCAAGTACAAGAAGATTTAAAAAAAAAAGCACATGCTGTATTTCATGATGCAAGTATTATGTTAACTTAAATAATATATATTAATATATTATTAATTATAGTATATTATTTAGATCCAGTATAGTTTGGGTACTAGCGGTCAAACAAAAATTAAATGCCCCTTTTTTGGCAACATTAATGTTACTAAAGACCAAAAAAAATGTCAAGATATTACAATTTGCCCTTATATTGACAATTAAATTAGATCAGCAAAACACTGTAATGTTGATTTTAATTCAGATATTTTTAAAGCAATTAAAAATAAATCTTCAAATAGGTCAATTTATACAAATATACTTGCATATATATAAATTTTGTAATTTAAATATATATGATATAATATAGAAACTAGTATTTTCATACATTCTTGAGTCATATTTATTTTTTTTTTGATCGAATATCGAATGTTTATTGATATTCTATCTCTATTATCTCTGCATAATATATAGTTATTAGGTATGCAGTGTACTTGTTATTGGTCATGTTGTGGATTATGATAACTGATTATTCATATACTTATAATAACATCATAATGTGATGTCTGCTATGAATAACATACTTATTTGATATATCTTATATAAATACTAAATAATTTTTGCATAACTTATTCAGCCTTCTAATACAAATACACAAATTTTTACTCATCTCTTAAGAAGTGAGTAAAATTTTGTATATTGTATTAGATAGATGAAGCCAAATAAGTTATGCAAAAATTATTCAGTATTCACATAAGATATTTCAGATAATACATATACAGTAAATTGCCTCAGTTTTAGACCTGAGTATATTGTAATGTTAAAATTTTGGTAGAATATAATATGAAAGTTATAGAATAAGTAGAAATCCTCTAATTATTATATTCTCTTTTTTTGCAATATATTCTTTAGGTATAGTATAAACTTTTAATCGAGTACTCTATATAGCAATTTACAGTATATTACATGCAAGGATGTGAAAATACTAATTCTCTTAATATAAATATTATTTTTATAATTTTTAGATATATATTTTAACAATATTAATAATATTCTAGATTTTATCTTGCCGTAATCAAAAAATCTTGTCCAAAAACTTTATGTGCTAGTCTATCAGTTTTAAGAAAAATTAAACAAAATACTTTAACACAGTACAGAACTAGTTAAAATCAAAGCAATAGTTATTTATTACTAATATCACAATGCAATGATAGTTACTTTATTAGATGTAGTTTTTGGTCTAATAAAGATAATTGGTATCGATTTATTCCAATATCTGAGTTATGTAATATTGATTTTCTTCGATATATTCTGAATAGAGAATTACTTGATCGGTCATTAATTCAAGATTGATGTTATACAATTTTACCTAATACAACATATAAGAAAGTTTGTCATAAGTATACTAACATATATAGATAAAAAATATATACGTATAATACTTTAATACTTGTTTTTAATATAATAAATTTAAATTTGTATAAGCATTTCCTTATCTTGATGAAAATAATCGACTATTTGAAGCTCAATTAGAACATCTACTATATGATGTTAAATTTTATCGATTTATACCTGTTAATTTGTTAGAGTATCTTTTTGTAGTATTAGTTTGTATAGGAGAACAAACTCATCTACTACTCTTACTACATCATGTATCAGAAGCTATTCAAAATTGCCTTAAGAGCTATGTCATTAATCATCTGATTTTTTTTTTTAAGGTGAGGTTTTGCTCTTATCTTTATTGATAAACTTGTTAGAGAAACTACATGGGGTTGCTCGGA